TCCAAATCATTATCTTCATGGCGCGATCTCGATCTTTATTGGATACTCATTCTTTAACCAACTTGAGATAAGTTTCTTCCTTCGATTATCATAATAGACCGAAGGGTCATGTTCTAACGACCTCCCATCGCATGATGCATCGCTTAGACTCAAGTCTTTTAGAGTCAAATTCCAGAACAGACTATACCTTCCTTCACGTTCTAACTACATTTTAAAAGGTAGCATTTCTAACTACAAGCAACCTTTCGTGATACCTCTACTGATCGCTTTTTATTTCAATCTTTTGTCTTAAACATCGAACTTGATTCTCTAAACCACATAACATACTCAACGTAATCGGACTCAATTTGATATGACCACTAGGGTCGGAATAACAATCATCTTCTTAGTCATTAATGAAACAATAGTAACGACATATTTGAATAAACCGGTATCAATTACTAGCTTCTTGGTAACCTTGTGACTTTCCCTGATCCAAGCATGAGTCCTGTGCTTCCGGTAGTATATGCATCTACTACCTTTCACACCTACTCATACTCGTCCCAAGTATTGTCTCATAGTCCCCGAGTCCTAAAATCACAAAACAATTTAACACATACGAGTGTGTCCAAATAATCATAAAAATTTCCCTAGACTCTACTTGGACTTCTTCCATGCATATCTTCAATCATCAATTCTACTTCAACTCAGTTGGTGATGGACATTCCAGATGATAGGAAAACTTTAGGAATTACACTAATCGTTCTATCATCTCACCAATCAAATGTGTACATTCAAATGTACCCTACTTCTATAGACGCACAACTATTTTATCAGACGTATCATAAAGGCAAGATACCTCTCTTATGATATTTTCCGATAGGTTTCATTCAGTATCGTAAGCCATCTCATTTCCTTTATTTTCTCAGTCTTTCATGGTTCGCATCACTTCCTAAACTTCTGTCATTATGATAGGTTCGGGTGCAGGCGTAACGACCGATGTATGACCCATTAGATTCTTAGGCTCAGGTTGTCATCTTCCTCTTGTTTTGTACACCCAAGCAGACGTTCGGTGTACCGAGACGAGAATTTAAGATAGGTAAGATTTTATTTACGACAGATGTATAAATCTCCTTGTTACACCAAAATGTTACATGCTAATTCTAATATCATAATCATACGCTTAGAATCCTGAAAACATTAGGTTTCCAGATCCGGTCGGCAACAGACCATAGATCCGAACAAATAACAGCATATAAGGAATCTTTATAGCTATAACATAAATCATTTAGCACATAAATTATTTTAGGCATCTTTCCTAAAATAAACTAGTGCTCGTGTCTAAATTATAGCAGACACTCATCTCACAATCATCGCTTAACATTCTAAGTTTAAGTCTAGAAATTTCGTACAAATTCCTAGTTCGCTTAAACTAATGCTCTGATACCAACTGTGACATCCCCATTTTCACGGGCAGAAAAGACCGATTTTGTTTATTCTTTATGAAAATCAGAGTACCTCTTTTAATAAAAATGTTGCGGAATTTTTTCCCAATAAAACATGATAAATACGTTATCAAAGCATTTCCGAAGAAAAGTATTTTAATTCATTTTAAAACATTTGGGATGTCATCGTTAATACAGAAACATAAGCATAAACATAACTTACATTCATTATCACTAGTGATTTATATCTCCTTAATCTCTCAATGTAATGTGACTTCATAACAACACCTGTGATATAAATAAACTAAGTGAGTCAGGTTGGGAAACCTGGTGAGTACATAGGGTTTTCAACCCACAATAATATAATTATTATGTTTAAAGAATTAAGCAATCAACCAAATTACCCATCCCCATTATCTTCTTTATTCTTTAAGGATCTGCCCTAAGAATCAGCTATTCCTCGTTCATTTATTCCTAAGGATCATCCTAAGAAATCGGCACGAAGTCCATCGTTGCCACGGTTTACACAACAGACACTAAGTCTGCATAGTCGCCAGGGGTTAGGCATCAAGTCTGCATGATTGCCAAGGTTTACACAACGGGCACTAAGTCTACATAGTTGCCAGGGTTTAGGCATCAAGTCTGCATGATAGCCAAGGTTTAGGCACCAAGTCTACATGGTGGCCAAGGTTTAGAGTATACCGGGTGAACACATCATTCACAACACCTACAGGTTGCGAGTCTGCTAGTGTTCCACTGGACTGTCTAGAATAGTCTGTGGTTGTCATCCATACTCTGCTGAATGACGGGGCCATCATTTGGGAAAAATGATTCTCAAATTGTCCAACTCTCATCATCACCTCACGGTCTATTTCACCTCTCAACTCATCATCCAACTCATACTTTATTTATTACATCTACCCATGTTTTACCCCAACATTATCGTAGATATAAAATACATATACAGTTTAAATCATTTAAAACATGTATAAAATGGTTCATCCAGCATAGACAACTAGTATTCAGATAATATGCACACATAGCACGTAACTTATATAAAATACTTCATATCTATGTGTAAGATGAAAGTAACTATACACTCACTTGAGAAGGTGGTGACTCGGTACTCGGACAACGCTTCATTTACTTTAAAATAATTTCTTACGACGAAACCTAGTATTATTACCACTAGATTTTAGTCTAATATTTACCGTGACTAATTATTAGTCTTATTATTATTATTATATAAACGTTTAAACAATACTTTCCAACCACTATGTACAGACAAGGGCCAGACATAAAACACCGGAGGGCAGGACCATTTTGGCGTATAGCACTTCTGAAATCCAAAAACCTTATGCGGCCCTTTAAACCAGATTCCTCGTACCGCGAGTAGTTAAAAAGATATTATAATGACACTTATATAAGTCATAATAATAGCTCAAATATTTATTATAAGTTCATAATAACAATATTAATTTTAAATATAAGCTATACTAAAATAGGGTAAACATAACTTACTTACAAGAGAATTTTAGCTAGGAGTCAGGCTCTGTAGGGGCAGAACTTCGTCGATGAATCTTTCTAGGAAAGATTCGTGCAGCGCTTCAGCGCTCACCTTACTATACTAAAAACTGCAGAAAGAGAAGTCGAATCATGAGGGTCTGAAAATGCTCGGGGGATAAGGAGAGAAAGACTCTTGAATCAAGAGAATGGTGTAAGAAACATGAGATCGCAAGGCTCTTATTTATACTAATTGAATTTTCAAAAATTACCATCCATAATTACTTAATGACCTGTTAGTTATATAAACAACTAAACACCCATCTATAATACTATTTTAAATGTATTTGATGATATTTGTACTAAACTAATGTCGAAAGAACTCAACATTAGTCTTATAATGACCACATCGTCGATACCTTTCTAATGATATATACATATGTATATATATATATGTGTACGTATATATGATTTATACATTATTTTAATACACAAATAAGCTATTATAATTTGTAACTCGTTCATAAGAACTTTGTTTTTGACGTTCTTTATATCCATGCGTAGGTGGAGAAGTACTTTACAACTTTCGTTTAGACTACGTCGGCTAATTTTGACTTTATTTTTAAAGTTATATTTTTAACAGGACGGGACATGATTGGTCCGTTAAAATTCTCATAACTTCTTTATCCGATGTCCATTTTCATCTGTCTTTTTATCGTTACGCTAGTAATAACGATATCTTCGATTCGCGTTTAGGTTGTGTTGGCTAAAAACCGCTCGATCTAATACTCGAACTTCGGGTTGTACACCGCTAAGCTGAGACTTCAAAAAATTATAACTTCATCATAAGAAGTCAGATTTGGGCGTTCTTTTTATGGACGCTCTCAGGTTAACATATTCTACGACTTCCATTTAGATTACTAAGGCTAAAAGAAGCTCTATCATAAATTCACTATTTACGTATTCGCGGTGCCGTGTCGGTTCCGTCGCTAAACTTAGACGGGTCATAATTTCTTCGTTATAACTCGGGTTTTCGCGCTCTTTATATGTACAGAACCCTTGAAACATATTCTACATCTTGGTTAAGATTATTTATTCTAAATAATCTTTTGTCGAAAAATCGTTTTCGACCTCTATTATCTCTAAATTGACTAGTCTGGATCTACGAACGTTACAGCAATAAGATGAGATATGAAAGTGATCATCTCTTTGAAAACTTTGTCGATCATTTAAGGAAACGTGAAAACATCTCATGAGCTATCTCCACCCAGAACACTTCGATTAGGAATGTCAGTTGGATAGAAAAACAAATCTTTCATTGATTTAGTACTAGATGAGTTGCACTATACTTACTAACAATTCACCGATTGTACCATTAATAGTGTTACGAGAAGTTCTTTAGTCTTGTACCAACTGACAATGATTTTAAAACACTTTATGGGATATGAAGTGGGATTCACTCCTCAATTGCGCATATGGATGTCTACGATTACGAGGCTTACACTCGTCGTGAAGCACTCGACAATCTTGAACTTAGACTCATTGGAGAATCCATCAAACATTATGGATAGTTGTTTAACAAACCTTAAGACACCCGGAACAGACGACAAATCTATTTAAAAGAATCATATCAAACACGAGCCTCACTCTATCGATGTTATTATCTAATAATTATTTATTTTACAGATTTATTAACGAGAATGTGGCTTCTAATGCCCTGTGTGGTAATAGTGTTCGAAATAATTCCTTTAAGAGTTGCAAATTGTGCTGCAATACATTTTAAAACTTTGATATGAGAGAGCCGGCGAATAATTGTGTTGCTACTCAAAACTCAAAGCTGATAATTACTTGTGAATTTGATTGTCAGTTTCAGTTTCCAGATCAACTTTTTAAATGTAATTTAAAATAATTGTATTTTTGTAAATATCTTAGTAACTTTAGACTTATAAATTAAAAACCAAATAACTTTTAATATCTTGTATGTCTACTAAAATGTTTTTATTTTTATTATTAAAGTTGTTACAGTTCTTTTAGGAACAAACTATTTTAAGGGTTTTTTTTTTTAGTATACTTATTTGATGGGTCGTCTGTGTAGAGAAACTCAGAAAGTACTCCCATGCTCCCTCCATAAAGCATAAACAAAACTGCCTTTTCTGTGTTATTTCCATCTCTTTACACATCAACTTTCTTTCAATTCCCAAGCCAAGATCATGCTCAACCAAGGGTTTTTAGAAGATCAACAAATAAGTTTCTTTCCTTTTCCTGCAAACATGATTTCCCTTCCAAATCAAAACTTGAAAACTCTATCACCTTCTTATCACCTTCCACAACACTCTAAACCAGAACAGCATCTCACTTCTCACTTTGGTCTTCCTTTACAATCTTCAAATGCAAATTACTGGTAATTAAAGGTTACGTCTCTCTGGTCGTGGATTATGTCGTCTTTCACAACCCTAATATATATATTTTTTGAAAAGAGCATGTAAAAGTTTGCTTAATTCAACAATGATTCTCTTTCTTTCCCATAACTTTTGGTTCTAAATGATGGTTAATTTCTTGTATTAGGGCATGGGGGGAAGTGGGTGAAATAATTAGCAACAAGATATTAGGGATGGGTAGGGATGATCATCATCACCATCTAGGGGTTTCTGGAATGAAGATGAAGAAGATGAAATCAAGAAGAAAAGTGAGGGAACCCAGGTTTTGCTTCAAGACGATGAGTGATGTCGATGTATTGGATGATGGCTACAAATGGAGGAAATATGGACAAAAAGTTGTCAAGAACACACAACACCCCAGGTACTTCATCAATCAATTTATTCTTCATATTCTTATGATTTTTATACGCACACAAATACAGACATATATACATATGTACACATTAAAGAAATTGTCCAGATAAATTTTTAAATTAAACTTGTGTCAACATACCTAAAATCATAGATCGATGCAAAAACCTGGATCTAAACATAGATATTTATGACCTAATTATGGCTGCTCGATCCTACATAAAACCATCAAAAATACTTAAAAACTGTTTTCTAGTTGCATATGCATTTCTTCTTTCGTCAATAGGTCAAGGAGTATTACTATATATATTAGAATTTTCATGTGATGGAAAACAAGTTCTCAAGAACTTACATATAAATTCACGTCGATCTATTTGAATAAGTTAGATATAGATTATTTTTGACTTACTAATAAAACTCACATCTTATTAATCGAATTAGTTTGCGGCATCCAAACAAAAATCATTTTATTATAATCTTTTTTTTAATTGAGCATACTCCAGAATGGTTATTTGAATCTTTTAGGTTGCTTGATTTATTATAACTTACAATTGTTAGTTCATGTGGGATCAAAATATTATTTTGATCTTAGAATTTTATACATGTTTATAAATTTAATAAATCCTTTTCGGACCATATTTGATCAATGGTATATATTTCTTAATAAATATATGTAACTGTCGATTAAAATTTGTGAGATACGATAAATTACTTTGCAAAAAAAATGTATATGCACGATTCATTGAGCAAAATATATATATGTAAACCATGGGCCAAACCACAAAACTTTATATGTAAATAATTTGCTTTTGTTATACATTATATTAAATGAAATCATATCAATAATAATGAAAAATTTTCTTTTATAAGTTCAAAGGCACTTTCAATGTACTTGCATGAGTAGTTACTCATTTTGATCGCTCCAATCATAAAACTCCATGCATCAAAATATTTTTTCTAATACACCAAGGGTTTTTTTAGTTAATTATCATATTCTCCTTTAATTTGCTAAACATCATTTTGTAGTTATTTTAAATTATTTTTTTTAGATGTCATTTTATTAGTTTATGGGGTTTTTTCTATTTTATTAAATTTAACATAATAATTTAATCTAATAATTTCAATAAATATAATAATAAATAAATATCAATTTCATTAATGTGCTTAATTACTTTTTAATTTCAAAATTTTCAAAATTAAAGTTTATTAGTTTCTTTTATTTATTTAAATTAAAAAGATAAAATACATTTCTATTATAATAATTTATTATTTTTTTATTTTCGTTCAAAATTTTCAAATATTTTAATCTTTATATTTAATTTTTTATTTTAAAATTATCCATATATATAATATATGAGTCTCAAAGCTAATAATTAATTGATATCATATGGGATGAAGCAAGATCGTATAATGCATAGCAAAAGGAATTAACTAGATAACATGGAAAACGTAAATATAAAATAGATCTTACATAATTGTTTTACAATTTATTTACTGGATTACATTAGCTTCAAATTAACAAGATCCCGCATACTTTCATGGTTGATAGACCAGAAATTTATTTTGATTTCGTACATTATTAAAGATCAAACATATCGACAGATAAAATAAAAAAATAAAAAAATAAAAAAAGATGTTACAAATTGTTTCGTGAGTGGAGTAAATTATCTGGTGCTAGCTCAAATAGTATAATAAGTAAGTGGTGGGGACAAAGTGTAATAAGTGAAACTACGCATTTCTTCTTTGCATGCATTTAGGTTACAGAACACAGAGCACCATTATTCTCTTCTCTGGGTCTTGCAGGAAGTGGGTTTTAAAACTTCGGTTCACGTCTTAGGGTACACTCTTCAAACCATAGTTCTCCGTTCTTGGTTATAGTCTTCTGCAAAATTCACTTCTCTTTTCGAGTTGATTTGATCTAACTAAATCCATAATCACACAACCTTTTTTATTTTTCAAATACAATACACATTATTTTAAGTTTAACTAATACTTTTGTAGAGCATTATACACACGACATATGGATCCTAATCATATAATTAAAAGTTTTTTCAATTTGAAACACCATAAAATCATTCTAAAGTTTCCTTCGGATGATACAATTCAACCGTATATTAGGCCTAATAATCTTTTATTGCTTGGTTTAAGGGCAGTCATAATGTAGTTCGTTATCTCATAAAAAGAAAAGTTCCAGATTCAGTTTGTAGTGAATTTTTATGAGCAATTTCAATATTTTGTTATATACACTTTTCTATTATAATTTATTTCAAATTAGAATTTAGAATGCGATTTCATAGACTTTCTTAAAGCTCAAATAATCATGCCAAAGTGCTACTAAAAGCCAAACTAGGGAGCCCACCTAAACATCCCTTCTTCTTCGAGGAAAACATGATGAAGACAGCCGTTGCCAGTTTGCATTTGTTTTCGCAATTGTAGTTCAGACTAATTTCCTTTTATAAAAAAACAATTAGATATTATAATTGAATCATTACATGGTACATATTTATTACCTTTATATAACATCTAAAGAAAAATATATCCTTTTATGAACTAAAAGATAATACATTAGATGACATATGTACAATTTTGGATCCGTTTAAAGATAACTGTATTAACATCAAGGTCACAGCTCAAGAAAATGCCCCTCCATTAAGTTCTAACGACAATGACAGCATAGATAAACATATATACCAAAATGAAACTATACTGAATTGAAAATGGATTTTAGCAAAACGAATTAACCAACGTATAAAATAGGCCAATGCACCGGATACGATTATCATATATGTGTGTTAACAAAAGTGAATGAAACAAAACATAAAATAGGCCGATGCACCAGCTACTATTATCATATTTCTGACATTATCATATTTCTGACAGGACTAGAATACAACCTTTAATTTATTTTAAAACATTACATTCATGTCAAGTAAAATTTTTTTTATATGTTTTATATGATTACAATTACAAAATGTAGGAGTTATTATCGATGCACGCAAGACAATTGTCGTGTAAAGAAACGAGTTGAGAGATTAGCAGAGGACCCTAGAATGGTGATTACAACTTATGAAGGTAGACATGCACATTCACCATCACAAAACGAGGAAGATTCAGAAGCTAACACTGCTAAGCTCTGCAATTTCTGGCTCTAGACTAACTTTATATTGATAGTAAGACCCTAGGCTATCATTGTATTGCTATTGATAGTATGATGCTAATGATAGTTAGTGTGTGGTTTTCTTTCATTTGTATATGATGTCCTCTTTTTGTTGGACGACCGTTGATGAATGCCTTTCTTAAAAGAAGAATTATATCTTTTATCTACACATTTGTGTGATTGCGTAAATGTTGGCCATTATTTAACATCCTTGTTTCAATATTTTTCTTATTTTAGAATATCGGATCATAAATAGTACATCCTTATTTTTACGGTTCGATAAATAGTACATCTTTATTTTTACGGTCCGATAAAGATTTTTTTAATGCTTAATTAAAACATTTGTTAATGCGGAATTTGTCCCGAAATATGTTTGATATGATATAATACTAGGTATAAAACCCGTGTATAACACGGGTTGATTAAAAAATAATTAAATATTAAAGTGTAGATAATAAATATTTTTTAAAATAAAATTTTGAAATAAGAAATAAAAAATATATTAATTGCAATTTAATATCATATTTATGATATTTAATATTTTACATATATATATATATATATATATATATATATATATATATATATATATATATACATGTATAAATAATATATGGCTTTTTAATTTTAACATTTGAAAAACCTAATAATTGACATGTAGATATTATTTATTTCAAAAATATCATAAAATGACATGTGTCAAAACTCATGAAAGATTGACATATGGCAAAATGGATCTTTATTTATTATAGTTGACATTTGTCCCGAAATATGTTTGATATGGTATAATATAAAATAAAGGCATTTCAAAATAAATGTTTTTCATTCATATTTTCAACACATAGGACACCATAACCGATACAATAAATATAAACATAAACAAAGACTTACTACATTTCGTTACAGTAACGGTTAACAACTCCTTGAATCTCTCAGTAGAAAGACACATCATTATTCATTTATAATTATCTATGATGCAAAGAAACTAAGTGAATCAGGTTGGAAAATTTGGTGAGATATATAGGGTTTTCAACCGATAAAATTATAATCTTTAATCGTATTTATTCTTCAGCATTCAAATAACCTAATTACCGCACTCCAGTTATTCTCACGTACTAATCCTAATATGATGATCTTGAGGGATCTTTCTTAAATGATATTTATCAGCAAACAACTTTAATTCGTAGATGATTAGGCACAACAGTATGAGAATACAGTAGGTAAACACAACAAAATGACATTACATTAGTACTTTGGATAGCCACTGCAGGTACAACAACATAACAATACTTTGGTTTAGCACGACAGTATAAAAGTACTTCAGATAGACACAACAGACATGACTTACTATTTCACACAACTTTCACTAACCTATCACAACCAGTATTTCACATAGCCCTATCACAACCTTGTAGAAGCGAATTGATCGAGTATGAAAGAAAGCAGAGTAATCAAAGTCATATGAACACGATGAGTAAATAAGATCTGGTTTATAGCTCACGTATACTTTCGAATACACAGAGTACGTTTAGACAGAAAGACCTGGAAAAGTTCAACTCCTATTTATAGGCGAATCTGAAAGTATACAAAAATACTAAGGACTAAACATTATACTTCGAAACACAAATTGCCTTATTAAATAGATAAAAAGTCTTTCGAAACTGCTAATACAAACTTCGACACATTACAACATATTCGACACTAACATTCTCCCCCTTTGTAATAAGTGTCGAAGTCTATTGATTAATACTTGAGCAGCAACATGTAAAGTTCTTTGAACCTCTGCATACCAATTCATAATCTTTCGCATCTCAGCTTTATCTCCTTCCGTGTTCTTCTTGCAATTGTTCATACACACAATTAACTTTGTATATTAAGTAGTTGTGTATCTTTCGACATCATTAGCCTGGAAAAGATACTTTGATTGTTTTCCCTTCTTACTCTTCCCCACAAATACAACTCCAAAAGGTTTCAATTAGCTTGGCTTTTCAAAATTGACTGAGGAACTGAAACTTCTTTCCCAATAACATTGCTAATTCAATATCAGTTAATGCAAGACAATCATAATAATTGTCTATGAAAAGCTTGAGATGGCTTAACCCCAACCGCAACACTTATTTGTTGGTTCCCTGAAGTTTCGTTGCATCTAAGTCCTTGAGAATGTATGCAACTTGACTAAGATCTTTTAAGTTCATTAATGGAAAATCAATAATGGAGAAATTACATGCAACCTTGTTAGCCCTCACAACATGATATCTGAAATTTTACAGCATATTTTCAAAAAGTTCATCCATCGTAATACTTATATCTTTGACAATCTTCACAAGCGACCAAACTTTCTCCTGATCGTTCCCCAAAACTGCATGAAATCTCAGCTTCCTATGTGTAAAATCATCTAGATTTTTGAGCTTATCAACAATTTAATACTGAGCAGTAATGAACATCATCTCATTCATTAGGAAATCCAGTTGATTCATTTCAGAATTTTCGATAGAATAACTCTTCATGGGCATCTTCTCGAAATCATGCATTTCATTGTATGCCACCCTTGCTTCAATGTTTTCATAACTATACAGTTTCCTTGGATCTCCTTTGTTAAGATTTGGAGGATCATTCTGACGAAGTTTCAAAATACTTTGGATTTGTCTTTGCTTTTTCATCTTAGCCTCAACCTCTTCCCTCTTTTCTTCTTTTGATTTTTAAACAATCACCTTTTTCCCCTGTCTTGAATTGTTGGAATTTCTTTTGGTTTCGAAGCACTCCCTTCTCCACTTGTTCCAATCACAATGCCTTTGTAAATTAGCCTTGTAGTAGTAACTTTTGAAACCACAGGATCATCACTCGATAGCATTGGCTTTGATGGAGGAATATTTGTTGCAAACACTTTACCTACAACCTTAGCTTCATCTTCAGTTTTCCCAAAATATCCTTCCCCAACAGACTTTTTCTCTCCCCCCATAAATCCTTATGATAACATGGGGCATTCGTTGGTAGAAAACTATTAAGCTTATACAATAGGGCCAATTCTTTATGAAGAACACTTTCAAATAATAGAAGCTTTTGAGACAAAAACTCAGGAGTTATTAAGACAGAAGATCCTGACTTCGAAACAAGTTCTTTTAACTCAGTCAGCAACTTGTTAATTTCTGAAAAGCTCAGAACTTCTTCCTTAGACATTTGCTCCACCCGTGGACCAAGAACTTCATATAGCTTGAAAGTTTTTTTTAACAACATCGGCTATTATGTCAATTTTTCTGATTAAGGGAAGCAAAGTCTTGTTGAACAACAATTATCTCCTTGCTCATATCTTGTCAAAGCTCTTGAATTTTGAAGTTTACATCCTCCCTAACCTTCTTGATATATTGAATGAACAATCTGTGAATTTTTTTTTCAACATCCTTTAAATCCTTGAGATCTGAAGAGAACGTAGATAATTGATTCTTGACATGTTTTTCATTATTTCAATCCACATCAGAAATGGCATCATGAAGATGGCCTTCTTGTCTTTTGAGCATTAGTCAACTTCCAGAATTGATACCAAATGTTTCCCTCCTCCATCCACTTGAATTTGTAATAAAGAATTGAGCTTCTGATTCAATATTTTGAATTATTTGCCTGTAAGAATCATAGTGTCTGGAATTTCCTCTTCCTGTGTATCAAACTGAATATCGCCACAAGTGCCACCAAAAACATTCTCATGATCATCATTAGAGGAATTATGAGCTTCTTCATGTGTAATCGGCGGGTTCGGTAGATTATGAGGAAAATAATGAAGTAATTGGTTGATCAAGGATGTTATCGAAAGTGGGTGAGTGGGTGTCAATTGAAGTGGTATCGAATGGAGGTATAGTGGTTGAAGTGTCAATGGTTGAAGTTTCGAAAAGAGAAGAAACAATAATAGGTGTACCTTGAGGCTTAGAAGTTTTGACATTAGACACCATAGGAAGAGAAACAATGATTGGTTCGGGCTATGACAATTGTGAATAAATAACTGTCATTTAGACATTTGAAGTATCTGGAAATATTGTCACCGGAGGATTCTGAATAACATCTTCTTTTTTAGATTCATTAGTAATCACCAACTTACGAAGTTTCTTTTTCTGTTTCCTAGAAATGTGTTTAGCCATATCTTCAGCTTAGCATTTCTTTGCTGATGGGGAAACAGGAATGGGAACCTCTCGAAGGATAACACCTTTTTCTTGTAACATGAGGCTTCTGTATCATGGATGGAGAAAAGTTGGGAGACATGTCAAAAGAACTTCGTGAAAAATGTGCCATCTTCTTAATTTTCTTGAACACAACTGTTTTCGAAGGAACTACTTCTTTTACAAGTTTGATAGATTTTGGTTCAATTTGTTTTTCCTTAGCCTTTGAAACAACAACTTCGTCATTTTTATTCTTCTTCAGAGACTTAGAACTTTTCTTCTCTGAAATTGGTTTTGACGAACTTCCCTCAACCTTCTTTGATCGTTTAGACTTTTTAGAAGAACCCTCGTCAGATCGAGGTAATAGAACACTAGTCTCGATTCATGTATTAATTGTATTCAAATAAGCTTTTAAAATGGAATTCAAAGGATCCATATGTTTTAGCATACCATCGGGAATTCTAGCAACATTTGGAAATACAATAGTATCATCTTCAACTATCTTCGGAAAATTATACTTCATAAACTCAGTTGTTTCCTCATCATTAGGTACCAAAATCCCTTCCTTCTCATACACAAACCTTAAAATCAAACTCCAGTATCCCATCAACTACATTTGTGTTTTCCACACTTTTCAAAAATTCCTGCCACATCTAGGTAGCGTAATCCGCAACAACATCATAATAAATCCCAACAACCATGGCATAAACCTCCAATCTCTCTTTATCTAAACCTACGCTTCGACCTGTGAGACTTTGAAGGTATATTCCAAAAAGAAATTTCCATATACAAGGGAGGCATGATTTCTTGAAATCACTTATCTTGGTAAGAGTAGGTTATTAACCCATCTCGTTGAACATTTACAAAATTTGATTAGTTGTGACTTTGTAGAAGGGAGGTGTATTTGTAATTTCCAGGATTTGACAAAAAAGTTTCCTACACAATCGAAACTTCTTCTCGTTGATTAGATTGAAGGTGCTTACATCCAATGTTTTGTTGTATGTGGCCGTTGATCCTGCAAGTGACAGCCAAGATAGTGAACCACCAAAGGAACTAACCATAG